AGGAGGGAAAGGTGCAAAAAACCGCCAAACCCACTCTTAGGTAGAGGAGGGATGTGTGTGACAGAGTGCTGAGGTCTAATAGATGAGTCAGAACTCTGCTCGCTGCAGCCTTAGTGAGTTTCCCCAGTGACAGTCGATGGGGGGAGCTGGATAAGGAACTAATTGGCCCATCAGCTGACTAGCTTGATAAAAGGCAGGGTTAGCAGGGAAAAGGGAAGAGGACAGAGCTAGTTGTGCTCAGACTGAAGCCAAGCCCAAAGAAGGGAGATCTCTTTTCCTTCCAGGGCCTGGATAAACAGGGGCTGACGGTCATAGCATAATAGGGAATTAGAATTGTTATATTGCATTTTATAGGTGTTAATGGGGGGCACTTGAATACATTATATGGAATAAACACTAAAAACATGAGACTGAGCAGGTTTTGTGGTGATCAAGGATAGGGGGACACACGCCCTTTACATTCCTATGCAGAGAAGGGACATCTGATGTAGGGGGCTTTTTAATCTAGCTGATAAAGGAATAAGAAGATCCTGTGACTTGGAAGTTGGGTCCTAAAAATTCAAATTAGAAATAAGGTGCAATTTTGTAACAATGAGGCGATTATCCATTGGCACCAGGTTATGGACGGATTTCATGGATTCTCCATTTCCTGGAGTTTTCACCCCAAGTCTGGATGCTTTTGTGAGGATATGCTGTGGCTAAGCTGCAAAGTATTGGGCCCCCAGGTAGCAGGGAAGAACCAGTCCCAGCACCGCAGGGCTGACTGACTGAGGGTCTCTGGCCTATGCTAGACAGCAGGTCAGACTAGATAACCATAATGATCCCTCCTTCTGGCCTTGCAGTTTATTACTCATCCGCTCTGAATGAGCAGCCTTGTCTATCTATGGGATAGGTAAGTGTCTCTTGATGGAATTAAATTTTTTTGTAAGCCACTGGAGATGGGCCTGGTCTTTGCTTGTGGCCCAGCCATCTGTCTGAAACCGAAAGGACTGGGGAGAACATGCTCTCTAGTCTCAGGGGCTAGAAAGGAAGTTTGAGCAAAGGGGACAGCTCTCTTGTGCCCCAACAGTGATTTGCCCTGATAGCAGCAGTGCTGGCTTCGTCATTAATCTGCCACAGGAGAGTTCAAGGCCCAGGGAGAGGCCGCAGCACCATGGCCATATCTGAGCCAGTGTTTCCCTTCACAGCCAGGAACATGGGTCAGGAATGCTTGAGGATGATGTATGTCTCCTGCAAGGATGGTCTGGGAGGCACCAGCTGCTCTCTGGGGTAGTAAAGCCAGCAGTGAAGTTTCCACAGAGGATGGCTTTTTTACCTGAATTTTCTGTAGGCCACAGAGCCGGAGCACACAGTCCAATTCCTCTTGCTCATACAGTGAGACAAGGAGTGACACCATCCGGTCAGACTGGCAGTCACTCAGCATGGCCAGTTCTTGCACCTCCTGGAGCAGACAGACAAGAATAAACAAAAAAGCATTCTCAGCACAAGCCAAAGAAGCCAGAGAGCTCTGGTTAAGGTAAATACTGCATTTTCTAATACAAATGCTACAAAAGGGAAGTGTAAGAACACAGGGACAGTTTCTGAGCATTCACTTTTGTGCTGTTCTGGTGGCACAAAGCAGCCAGAGAACTGTAGGGCTTTTGCCAGCATAAATATAGTAAAAACAAATGTACATCCCTACTTGATGTTACCTGCCCTCGCTTAACAGGGAGTCTGTAATACGCTGGCCTGCTTATGTGGGATCATGAGGCCCTCTAGTGACGCATTCCAGCAACTACAACAGCCCTTCCAAATTCATGGGTAATGTCTACGCAGCCCATCAGCAAGCCTCCCAGCCCAGGTTAGCAGGGCTTGCGCTGGTGCGCTAAAAATAGCTGTGTAGACAGTGCTTTGATGTTGCAGCTTGGTCTGAAGCCCACCCCACTCCCTAGGTTTCAGAGCCTGACCTCCAGCCCAAGTCACAACTTCAAAGCGCTGTCTGAAGAGCTATTTTTAGAGAACTAGTGTGAGCCCCGCTAACCCGAGTCTGTCGACCTGGGCTGGGAAGCTCACTGACATGGGCTGGGTAAAGTAGAGGTACCCTAAAAGACTTGGCCAGATCCTTAGGTGTTCTGGCTAGTGCTCGCTGGCTGCAAGAGCTGCCAAATGGCTCGGGAGCCTCCTCTGAGCCAAGTGTGAACTGCTGTGGCATACAGCTGGTGTTCGGGCTTGTTCCCCACAAAAGCCCCCGGCAGTCAGCGTACGAGGACAGGACTGACGCTGCACTGACCCCAAGCTAGCTGTTCAATGCCATCTGGCCATTGCAGGCAGGTGTAATGCAGTACAGCCCTCAGAATGGAGCACTGTTTGCAAGAAGTGACACTAGCAGCAAGACAGACCAGTGGGCACGTCACACCAACTTTCACATCTGCTCTGATCTCCCATCTGTGCATGTGGGGAGGTTTGGAGTCTTGGCACAAGCTTGGTGCACTGGTGCTGAAGCTCCTGAGTTCAGTCCCTGCTGCCAACAGGCATGTCTGCACATGAAGGGCTAGTGACAGCAGGAGGGTTTGCTGCATGAACAGAAGCAATCGGTGACCTAGCTCCCGTTATCGCAATTCAGGCTTCATTTTGGAGGAACTGGATAAATGCAAATACCTTGGAGATTGGAGTATTTTTGTACAAACCAACCTGACCTGAAGATGCGTCTGTTTCCAAGTACTTGGTGCATCAGAGAGATGCAGATGGGAGGGAGCTCGGAAAAGAGCAACAATGGTTGAGGCAAAGAGTTAGGAGGAAACATTAAAGGGCAGCATTCTTGCTGCTGAGGGTAGAACATATCATTGTAAAGGGGTGGAGTTCCACACCCCCTGGTCAGTTACTTCAAACCATCTGAAATTGTTCCTCGGGGCTGCACTGTTCTGTGTTGGTCTCAGGTGGAAGGTGACTAGGCTACGTCTTCTCTACTGAATTAGCTCGAGTTAACTCTTTGAGTTAGCTTTGCTCAAGTGAGAGCAGCCACACTGTGACCCAGCACTGGAGCTGCACAGAGAGCCTGGATTAGCAACACAGTATTTATATGACAAGCATAGAGTAGCTGCGTCTGCACTGCATTAGTACCTCCACCATCAGCAGCACCCAAGCTCCAATCCCCAACCCCTCATGGGCTAGCTCACGCGAGTGTAAAGCGCCATTAAACTCAAGCTAGAGATTTGTCTATGTGCATGGGAGTTTGGTTGGGGTAACAGCAGAGTTATACCTGGTGCTAACTCTGCTGTGAAGACAGGCTGTTCGTCTGGAACAGAACAAAAGGAATATTCCACCCCATGTGTTCTCCTTGGATCACAGCCCATTTGAACTTCACAGCCACTACTTCCACCTCCCTCCCTCACACTGAATCCTCATCCTTAAGCTGCTCTTGCCCAGGTCTCTAATGATCAGTTTCTGGTCAAATCTCAAGACCTCTGCGCCACCTTCACCTCAACTTCGCTGTTGCTTTTGACACGTTATCATAGAATCATAGAATATCAGAGTTGGAAGGGACCTCAGGAGGTCATCTAGTCCAACCCCCTGCTCAAAGCAGGACCAATCCCCAACTAGATCATCCCAGCCAGGGCTTTGTCAAGCCTGACCTTAAAAATATCTAAGGAAGGAGATTCCACCACTTCCCTAGGTAACGCATTCCAGTGTTTCACCACCCTCCTAGTGAAAAAGTTTTTCCTAATATCCAACCTAAACCTCCCCCACTGCAACTTGAGACCATTACTCCTTGTTCTGTCATCAGTTACCACTGAGAACAGTCTAGATCCATCCTCTTTGGAACCCCCTTTCAGGTAGTTGAAAGCAGCTATCAAAACCCCCCTCATTCTTCTCTTCCGCAGACTAAACAATCCCAGTTCCCTCAGCCTCTTCTCATAAGTCATGTGTTCCAGTCCCCTAATCATTTTTGTTGCCCTCCACTGGACTCTTTCCAATTTTTCCACAATTTTTCATCTTCTCTTCTCTTCCCGTTTGTAATCCTGTCTTCTCCTGGCTCACTGCCCTCCTCCCTCCCCACCAGCATTTCCTTCAGTGTCTCTCCAGGCAGCTCCTCCCCTGCCATTCCCTTGCTGCCTGCAGCATTCATTCTCCTCCCTTGTGGCATGCATTACCCAGTCTGTAATGTTTGGCTTTGCAATCTCATGAACACCCTTAGCAGACAGCCTCACTGTACATCATAAATCTTCCAGCTGTTAAAAATGGTGATACTCTATCCCCAAGACATAAACAATCACAACCTTGACCCCCATACTTACATGATGCACCTCTTCTCCCTATCCTCTGTCTGCCTGTCTGTCGCCTCTCGTGGGGAAGGCTTGTCCCTCATTTTGTGTTTGTAAAGTGCCCAACAGATGGCCCAGTGGGTAGGATCCCAGTCTAGGACTAAAGACACCATCATTCAATCCCCTGTTCTCCTACAGACTTCCTGTGTGCCCGTGGGCAAGCCACTTAGTCTCTCTGTACATTGGGGAAAGCAGCACTGCCTTAACCCACTGCAAGGATAACTGCTTTAAAGATTATGATGTGCTTTGAGAGCGACTGATGAAAAGGGCTAAGTATTATTATACTGTGGGCACTGCTAGAATCTATAAAACCAGATTCCAGAATTTGTCTGCGAGTCACTCTGAAGCCGCAAATGGCTGAGTCAGTGCGGAGTGATGGAAACGATTGCAGGCATGGTTGTGTTGACTAACGTATGCTGGCTACCATATTAATATATTAATAACATGTATCATCCACACCATATACATATAAGTATACATTAAGCACAAACATTGTAACAGTGAGATAGCCTAAACTGGCCAATACTATAATCCTGTTCACTTATGCTAAGTATCCCATAACACCTTGCATTAGCTGAAGTAAGCTTTGGCTTAAGTAGACAGGAAAACTGTCAGTATCAGGACATATCATTGTTCCCTCATTGCAACAGAAAGTGAGTTACCCTATTTATAACCAAACCTATTTATCCTGCTACACAGGTGCAAGAAGCAGGAGGGCAGATGCTCTGTCCCGCATGGATGAACTTGCTGGGTCATGCACAACACCGCATTCAACCATCCTTATGCCATCACCCTTTGTCCTGGGATCAGTGGACAGGGACCTGGTGTCACTCATTCAATCGCTGCTGCCTCACAACCCCTTTGCCACCCAGACCTGCCAGAGCCTGGGTGATGCGGACCACAGGTTGGTTCAGAGTTGCGATTGCAGAATGGAATTCTATACTGCGGACAACGCATTTCTGTTCCGGACTGCCAGCCTAGATGCAAGGGTCTCGAAGTACGTTATGAGTCCCAGCTCGCCAGCCATTTTGGCCAAACTAAAACCAGGAACTTGGTTTTGTGAAATTTCTGGTGGCCGGGTATACACACATATGTCAGGAAATACACTGACTCCTGCTGTGATCGGTGTTCCCAGGCCAAGAACCCTTGTGTTCTCCTTCAGTCCATATACACCCTCTCTCAGCCCTGGTCTACTGTGTCCCTGGATTTTATAGCAGAACTACCCCACTCCCAGGGATGTACAATTGGGTTGGCTGCTGTTGATTACTTGCCCAAGGTGGCCCATTTGATCCTCTCTTGTGCAGTTCTCGCTGCCCTGGAAAACACCCACCTCTTTCTTGAACACATCTTTTGGCTCCACAGACTATTGACTGGCATTGTGGCAGACCAAGTCCCACAGTTTGTCTCCCACGTCTGATGAGAGCTCTACAATCCCTTGGGGGTAGAACGCCCTGAACTGCCCTGGCTGATGTAATAGCTATTGCAAATGCTACCTTTGTTGAAATGTGTAACAGAGAGCAAGTTGCTAGACGCTCAAAATGGGGGATCCATCGGCTTTGATAAAACTGAATTCAGACGTCAGTGTGGAATAGGACTCCGTACCTGCAGAAACACCCTGTCCAACCCCCTCAAAAACCTTATGACCAACGGGCTGGAAAAAAGGGAGCGGTTATCCACCGGAAGGTGAAATGTCAATATAGCTGCTAGCTGTGTCCTAATTAAGCTAATCGCTAATCCTTGATGTTTCAGGTACAAAATATAGTCCTTCACATGCTGAACAGAAGCAAGGATGGGGAAGACCCCGCCCCCCCCTTCAGCCTCCATCAGATGGAAAATCTTTTCCATTCAGCCAGGACGGGTCGACCTTGTTGATGGCTTTCTACTATTCAGCACTACCTCCTGCATCTCTCTTGAGTAGGACTCCTCTGCTGATGTTAGCCATGAAGCCTCCAGGCCAACAGGTGGAGAGCTTCGAGGCTGGGGTAGAGGAGACAGCTATGATTCTGCAAAACTAGGTCTGTGGGAAGTGGGAGCAATAGCGGGAGACTGATAGGTCCAAAAGCTGAGAAAAACAGTGTTGATGGCTAGAGTTGCTAGGCGTCCGGTTTTCAATTGGAATGCCCGGCCAAAAAGGGACCCTGGCAGCTCCAGTCAGCACAGCCGACCAGGCCATTAGAAGTCCAGTTGGTGGTGCTGCGGGTCTAAGGCAGACTAGTCCCTTCCTGTCCTGGCACCACGCTGCGCCCCGGAAGCTGCCAGCAAGTCCGGCTCCTGGGGGGAGGAGGGGTAGGGCTCCATGTGCTGTCCCCATGCCAAGTACCCGCTCCACACTCCTATTGGCTGAGAACAGTTGCAAATGAGAGCTGGGGGGGTGGTGCCTGCAGGCAAGAGCAGCGCACTGAGCCTCCTGGCACCCCCGCCTAGGAGCCAGACCCGCTGGCCACTTCCGGGGTACAGCTCAGTGCCAGGATTGGCAGGGAGTGTGCCTTAGCCATGCAGCACCGCTGACTGGGAGCCGCCTGAGCTAAGCCCTCACCTCAACCCCGATCCCCACCTCCTTCCCCAGCCCTGAGCTCCCCCAAACCCAGAGCCCCCTCCTGCACCCCAAACTCTTCATCCCTGGGCCCACACCAGAGCCTGCACCCACAGCTGGGGCCCCCACACCTCCTGCACCTCAACCCCCTGCCCCAGCCCAGAGCCCCTTCCCAAACCCTGAACCCCTCATGCCTGACCCTATCCCAGAGTCTGCACCACCAGCCCAGAGCCCATACCCCCTCCCAGAGCCCACTCCCCTGCCTCAGCCTGCAGCCCTCTCCCACATTCCGAATCCCTCGGCCCCATTCCCCAGCCTGGAGCTCCCTCCTGCACCCCAAGCCCCTCATCCCCAGCCCCACCCCCAGCCGGAGCCCTCATCCCCTCCCACACCCTGAACCCCTCATTTCTGGCCCCACCCCAGAGCCTGGACCCCCAGTTAGAGCCCTTACCCCCTCCCGCACCCCAACCCCCTGTCCCAGCCCAGTGAAAGTGAATGAAGGTGGGAGAGAACAAGCCACTGAGGGATGGGGAATGTAGTCAGTGGGGGCGGGTTCCTGGGGAAGGGGTGGGGCTAGGGTGTTCCATTTTGTGCGATTAGAAAGTTGGCAACCCTACTGATGGGACCAAGCTGGGTTGATCAGTATAAGATTGGCTTTGTCCTGCTTGACCTGGCACAGAACTTTGAAAAGAAGAGGAATGGGGGAAAAGGATCCATCAACAAACCCAGCTGTGTCCTGCTCTGGAACAGAGCTAGTGACATTTTGGTTGTCCCTTGTTACAAGCAAATCCACTTGGGGAGTTCCCGAGAGCTGGAAAATGGACCTTACTATATCTGGGCAAAGGGACCCCCGTGGAGATTGATAAACAACTTGCTTAGGTGGTTTGCCGGCATATTCTGAGCCCTCGCAGAGACAGCCAGTTCTATTATTCTAGATACGAATCTTTATTTGGCAAATCATTGAACAAAACCTCCAAACTGCTGAGAAAAATTTCTTTTATATATTCCCCATCTGTAAATGGCTTTCAGTTTTTTGCAATGCACTGTGCAGTCTTGTAACTTCCTTCTGGGGCTTGATTTTTACTTACACTTAAGCATTTAGACACACTGCTTTGCTTCTCATATCCTGCTACTGCCTTTTTGATCAATTCAGTCTTGTCTGCTTCGTCAAGAAAGGTTTTCTCGTGGTTCATTGGAAAATGTTGTCAAATAGCTGATGTGCGACAAACAACACTTTCACAACAGAAAGCACAAACAGCATGGTCCTTTTGAATAAATCCAAATGTGTCTGTCCAAGGAAGCTGAAATAAACGGACATTTAACTTTGCTTTCTTAGGAGCTGACATTTTGTCAAATGTACCCCTCAACTTACAGTGGGAAAAAAAATGGCGACAGACAGCACGCACGTCAAATGCAATGAGCTGTTCCATGTGACGTGATAGTGATGTAAGCAATAAATCAGGACTTAAAAATATCCCAGTACAGTGGCTCTGGAACAATTTTTAAGGTGGGGGTGCTGAGCAGTGCCACCTCTTGCCCCTGTCTGCACCTCTCACTGCCCCAGGACACTCTGCAGTACCGAGGAATGAAGAGATGTTGATGCAAGTCCATCGGGAGCCGGTCTCAACAGGCCCCGTTGGGCTCTGGAGTCAATGAACTCCCCTAGTTAGAGGTGTGCTGTGGGGAGTGCTTCCTCTTAGAACACCTTCCCAAGTCCTTAGCAGAGTCAACCTCTTTGAATCCCTCAATGACCCTGGTATTGAATCCAATTTCCGATGCCTCTTCTTCGGTACTGGAGATGCTGATCTGCCCCTCACTACCAGTAGCACCAGAGGTGTGCTACTGACCGATGCCGAGGTGCTCAAAGCCCAGAGTAGAGGTCTCAAATGTAGGCTGCAGCACCTACTCCAAGAGCAGATATTTTAATCTGGCTGCTCTTTTTTTTTTTCCAACTGGGCCTACAGCCCTTGCAAAATGCCCTTGCATTTAAGGGAGCTGGGGTGTGGCTCACTATTCAGGATGGCCTTGCCACAAGAGTGTCAGGGCTTGAAACCCCGAGAGCGTGGCTTACATCTGGTACTGGGGCAAGTCCCCAACACTGGGTGCTGGAACCCACACAAACAACAAAAACAATTTTTTGTTTACTAAGAAACTAACTGACTGACTTAACTACTCATACGATACACAGGTGCTATAAACAGATAACAGGAAAGATTTGCAGAAGCAAGGCCAGGAAGCTCCAACAACCATCAGTGGTGACAGGAAGGAACTGAGGAGGGTCCGGAGTTGCTCAGCCCTTTGTGCCTACACGATGTGTGTGAGGCAGCAGAGGGCACTCAAGCTGTCCCAACAAGTCCTGCTAAAGGTAAAAACTCTCTGACAACTGTGCACGGGAGCACAGAAAGCCCTACTGTGGAATGGACATGTGCGATCACTTGAAGAAGAATGTGATTTCCCCTGCTTGAATGTGACCCCGAGGTAAATCAAGAGACATTGGAAACACATTTACATAAAAGGTAAACAAAGCCTTGGCATGGCACATCGCCTCTGCATTTAGAGCGTTTGTTCTGTAGCTTGGACTGATGGAACCCTGAACAGCCTCAGGGGGATGCCCTGAATCACCAGTCCTGATTGCTGCCAGGAGCCGAGGGCCATCCCTCCCAGTAGGTGTGAAATGGGCCCATGGTGGTGCCGGTTGTGCCTGCTGTTGCCTAGCGCCTCCCGTAAGAGGAGCACACTCCTGGGAAATGCTCCCCACCCAGCACTTCAGCCCCTGCTCATGCACTGCCACTCAGCCCACACAAGCTCTTCCCTCTGGGAAGGGCATTGCACTGAGCTGTCTCCAGCAGCATCTGACATCCCTCCAGTGTCTCTGTCTCCAGGATACAGCAAGCCAGCCTGTGGTGCTCTGTCCCCATGCTGGAGCATGTAGGGTCCAGCATGGCTGATTCCTGCTGGCTACAGGATCCCAGGCAGGACTCTCTTCCTCACTGAGTGAGCATCCTTGGGCAGAGCAAAGACCTCCAGATCCTCCACTTTATGATGGTCAGAAATGCAGTTCCCCAGAGAGCTGCCAGACAAACACCCTAGAAACAGAGTGATATGCCCATTCTACAGCTCATCCCCAACCCGCCTTTCAACATTCACTGCCCTTGCCTGGCCCCTGAACACACCTACCCCAATAGCACTACCCCAGGCTTCCACCCACCCACCCAAACATTCCCAGCTCCCCTCCCCACCATCCCAAATGTACATCCCACCTTCTCTACACACTGAGCCCCTCAGCCTCTCCTGGACATATACCCCCTCCCAAACCTTACCCACACAGCACACACCCCACTCACACTATACACACACCACCCACACTACACAACCCCCACCTGCACACTGTCCCTCCTTCCTGCCCAACCACTGGCATTACTATTTCTGCTGCCTTTTCAATCCTGCTGAGAAAAGGAGCTGAAGGGAAGTTCAGGACACTAGCCTGAGGTCCCCAGCCAAAGGCATGATGGAGCTCACCGCAGGTCTGCAGAGCAGGAGTCGGATGTCGGTGACGTGCGGAGGAGGAGCCTGCAGCTTTGCACTCACGTGCATTACGTTAGAGAAAACCACCTGGAAGCGTAGTTCCACTTGGATGCCACATGGAAAAGTCAGTGTCTCCTTCAGCAACTCTGTAAGTGAAATCAGAGGAAGAGTCATGGCAGAGGCCAGAATGCACAGCACACCAAGCGCTCTCTGTCTCATTGCTGTGCCCTGTCAGCAGATGGGAATGATTCATAGATTCTACTGGACCACTGTGATCACCTAGGCTGACCGCCGTAACACCAGCCAGAGAACTACCCCACAATAATTCCTAGAGCAGACCTAACATCCTCCCTTGACTGAAAAATTGTCAGCGATGGAAAATCCACCATGACCCTTGGTAAATTGTTCCAGTGGTTAATTACTCTCACTGTTAAAAATGTATGTAGTATTTCCGGTTTGAATTTCTCCAGCTTCAACTTCCAGCCATTGGCTTGTGTTAGACCTTTCTCTGCTGGATTGAAGAGACCATCATTAACTATTTGTTCCCCAAGTAGGTACTGTTTTAGGGTAAATTCGTAGGCCTCATTGCCACTTGTGAGTTCAACTGTAAGAAGTGAGCATAAGTTCATAAGATGTCACAGTAACCTGGAACAGCCAATGTTGATGGGAAAAGGCATGAAAGGGAGACAAAAAGACTGAGCTAGTCCAAACAAAAAGGCCTTCTGATATAACTCAAGGATTGTGTTAAGATCATTTTTGGTTTACCAAGCATGATTTTAACATAGTCCTTGAGTGTGAAACCAGAAAGTAGTTAACCAAAGTTGGTGCTTCAGAAACAAGGCCTAATTAGTGGACAAAATAATGAGGGGATGAGCTATTCTGCCCATCACTCCCTTTTGGGGTCCTTGAAGAAAAGAGACTTTGGGAGAAAAATTGGCTACTGGGATGAGATTCACAATTATGACTGCCACCCCCACCATCTCCTGGGACCCCAGGCCTTCATCATCCTGATCCTGAGAGATGTCCTGACTGGACAGGGCCAGAGAAAAGGACCCAGATGACCTCACGACATCCACCAGCTCCAGCTGATTCCCAACCATCACCTGGGATGAAACAGGATTGGACCTTAATAATAAAGAGAGCTGCAGCCCATCTCAACTAACTTCTTCTCTGTTCTCCAAAAGGACAGTTATTACCAGCTTTGATACCATCTTAGAGACTGTCAGACACAGGGATTCTTCCTTCTAAAAACTCTCTCCAGCTAACAAGAAAGGGAACAAGGTATGCTGTTAAAATGAAAGCCTTATTTAATACTTTATATTGTAAAGGCTTTAACTGTGTTCCCCTCTTTTCTTTATCTTTAATAAAAGGTTAAAAGGATTTTTAATGGCGTGTTTGCCATGGGACTAAGTAGGCTGAAGTCTCTGTAGACCAAACCCCAAGCCTTAACACTGTTTAATACTGGACAGTGGCTAGGTTATGTTAATGCCTTTACATTTAAATGAATACAACAGTGTTTATAGACTCTTATCAAGTCACACATTAAATATCTCTTTTTTAAGTTAAATAGATTGAGCTCCTTCCATCTATCGATATAAGACATGTTTTCTAACCCTTCTTGAACTGTGAACACCAGAACTGGATGCAGTATTCCAGCAGCGGTTACTCCAGCGCCAAATACAGAGGTAAAATAACCTCTTTACTCCTACTTGAAATTCCCCTGTTTATGCATCCAAGGATTGCATTAGCCCTTTTGGTCACTATGTTGCCCCAGCTGATTATCCCACCACGACCCTCAAATCTTTTTCAGAATCCCTACTTCCCAGGATAGAATCCCCCATCCTGTAAGTATGGCCTACATTCTTTGTTCCTAGATATATGTGTGACAGAATATACCTAGGTGTTCACACCGTACATGTTATTGCCATAATTTTTGTACAAGATATGCCTTATAAGGTATCATCTGAAAACTCATAATTTACTGGTCAGTATGGTCCTGATAAAATTTGTGTGGCAACATTGTACGTAAAGTTATAACATTTCCCTGTATGATGTTATTAACACATGTTCCAAACCCCACAGCCCTGCTCAAACAGAGGTTGGCAAACAGTCTGTCCTAAACAAAGGAATGTGTGCTCTGCTTAATTTACCTTAAGCAGTAAACAGAGTCATCAAGACGAAGGAAAACAAAGGATGCTCACTGATGAGAAAAGGGGAACATCCTTCCACATAGACTTTCTGCCTTCTAGTGCCCAGCTGGAAATGTTTTTCAAGAGAGGGACTGAAACTTTAAAAAGAAGGGACAAATACCCCAAGGCACCCACTCTCTCTCTGCCTGCCCATCACATTCACTGCAACTGAAGCAACAAAGGAAGCAGTCATTGGACTCTGGGGGATGGGTACTGGTCAGTAAGACTGCTGAAAGAAAGCACATGGTGAGAAATTTTGCTTGAATCTGATATAGTTTAAGTTAGGTATTAGTAAACATTTTATGTTTATTTTCCTTGTTACCATTTCTGATTTTTATGCCTCATGACTTGTACTCACTTAAAATCTCTCTCTTTGTAGTTAACAAACTTGTTTTACTGTTTTATCTAATTCAATGTGTTTAAACTGAAGTGTCTGAATAACTATTTGAGATAATAACCCTGCACATTATTCCCTTTAAGGAATAACAGACTTAAAATATTTTGTACTGTCCCCGAGAGGTCTAGGCAGAACACGACATACATTTCTGGGGGGAAATCTGGGTCTGGGGGTGTGTTGGGGTCACCCTGCAGTATAACCCAGGCTGGTGAGAGTTAGAGTATAACCCAAGTATGGCTGACAGGCTGCAGTCACACACAGACACTCTGGATGTAACTTCCATGCTGGTGGCTGTTTGTGAGCAGCCCAGGTGGGAGATACTTTATCAAGGCATTGTAAGAATGGAAGAACGCCTATACTGGGTCAGACCAAACGTCCATCTAGCCCAGTATCCTGTCTTCTGACAGTGGCCAATGCCAGGTGCACCAGAGAGAATGAACGGGACGAGTAATCATGAAGTGATCCAACCCCTGTCACCCATTCCAGCTTCTGGAAAACAGAGGCACCCAAGGTTGCAGGGCAGGGGTGACACAGCTGCTCATTAGTCTGGGTTGTACCCTGGTATGTCACAATATGCATTTACATTTAGCTGTAATAAAATGCACATTGGTTGCTTGTGCCCAGTTTACCAAGTGACCCAGATCACTCTGTACCAGAGACCTGTCCTCTTCATTATTTACCACTCCCACAATTTTTGTGCCATCTGCAAACTTTATCAATGTTTTCTTCCAGGTCATTAATAAACATATTACATAGCATAGGGCGAAGAACTGATCCCTGTGGAACCCCACTAAAACCACACCCATTTGATGACGATTCTCTGTTTACAGTTACATTTTGAGAGGGTGCCCCTCCTGTCCCAGCCGTTATTTTCTCCGCCTGCAGTGCTTGAGTTACCCCTGCAGTGTGGGAAGGTATGTATAGTTGTTGTAAATTGCTGGCCCATGGCTGGGCAGTGATCCCTGGGATACTCCTTGTGACCTGCCCTGGCCCAGGCTACTACCCTGGGTACCAGTGGATTGATCTCCTCTTTGAGCCTGCCACTGCCATTCTGCAAATTCCCTGCTGCTGCTGTTCTCTTTGCCCCATCCCATTATTTCCACTATAATTCCTTGGACAGGAATCGCTTCAGTGTTCAGCCAGCAGCTGAGTCACCTCCTCACTGGCCCCACTTCTTCAAGCCTGCTGGCTTGCCTTGCAAGCTTCCTGCTCCAATCCCAGCAGGGCCTGAACCTGCCAGGAAAAGCCTCTTGCTCGACAGTGGCAGCGGGACCTCCCTCTATTTGCTGCTCCCCACTCTCTGGGTGCTGCCACTGCTTCTCCCCCATCTGACTCTTATGGCAAGAGACCCTTAGGCCCCCACCCCATTCTGTGCCGTATGCCCAGACCCCAGCAGCAGCCCCCTCTGGATTCACCCACCCCAACCCCTTCCCAAAATGGTTCCCACAGCTCTGCTAGCCCTCTCCATGGCCTGGACCACTTCCTGGAGGGGGTGGCAGAGAAGCAGCACCCTGAGGCGCCCCCTTATGGGGGGGCAGTGTAGCTGTGAACAGGGCGCAGCGTGAAGCAGGAGCAGTGAAACCCAAATACAACATTGTGCACTATTGATGTTAGACATATTTAAGAGCCAGATGCTAATGTACCTTGCCTGGGACCCCCAGGGCCGGGGCTGAGACAGCGTGGCTAAGGGCTCTGCACTGGTCTCTTACCATGGCTGTGTCCCCAGAGCTCTGCAGTCGGCCCAGTGGTGCAGATGGGGTCTGTCAGCGCCCGGGCTTCCTTCAGAGTGTGCTTGATCTCCATCACCTGCTTTCCAGTTACCAAGGGGTCCCGACCAATGTCTGGGGGAGAAAGAGCTGCCTGAGGAATGGTTCAAAGGGATAAGGCGCAAAGGGTGCTGAGGCAGCCAGCTCCCACTGAGAGTCAGTGGGGTTTGGGCGCCCACTTCCTTTTTGTGCCTTTGAATTTTCCCCCTAAATTGGGGGCCTGGCTCACACCGTGCCTGCAGTCATTCCAGTCTCTCCACATACAGTTCCTACTGTGCCCCCTCACTCTCCTGGCCCAACTCGGAACTCCCCACTGTATATTCTATGAGCTACTGAGCAGTACTGCACCCATGAGCCAAGCGAAGGGTGGAATATTAGGGTGTTGGAATATTCACCATCCCATTCCTTACGCATCCTAATATCTTGTTTGGTTTCTGAACCGCGCCTACACACTGAGCAGAGGTTTCACATAGCTGCCTGCAGCAACCCCCAGGTCCCTGTCCCGAGTGAGTACAGTCCATTGAGAACCCAGCAATGTGAATGAAGAGTTCAGATCACTCCTCACCTCGCATTTGTCACACTGGATTTCAACTGTCACTGAGTCATCAGCAAACATTGCCACCTCACTTCTCCAGATTATTCACAAATATGACAAACAGCACCAGACTTAGTATGGGGACCCCACTGCTTCCCTTGTGCCTTGAAGAACTCTGACCATTCCTTTCTACTCTTTGCTTCTGTCTAGCCCATTTCTGACTTGTCACATCTACACACAACTAATTCATTTCCTTAATAACCTCTCGCGAGGGCCTTTGCCAAGGATTTTTGAAGGACTGGGTAAATGCTATCAGCTGGTTCTCCTGTCGCCCCTGCTTTGTTGTTGCCATGATTAGAGAATTGTAGTAGATGGCAAAGGCAGGATTTTTGTTTGCAGAAGCTGTGCTGGTTTATACCCAGCATGCCAATTTCACCCAGATGGTTTGTTATTCTAATGAAACCAGTGTACTTTGCTCTGATGTGAGGTTTCGGGGCCTCTAATGCCCAGGATCACCTCTAGAGCCTTTTGTAAAGAAAGATACAACAGCCATCCCCCTCCGTATTCACTGATTTTAACAAGAGATGGATTTTATTACTCTGATGCTCTTGGACACACTGTCTGGGCCTGGAGACTCATTGGCCTTTCATTTGTCTGTTTGTTCCATCTCCCCTTCCTTTGAATCCTTGATCAATGACTGCACCTCAACTTTACTACCTGGAACAAGTAGCTTCCAGCTTTAACTAAACAACTTCCGGTGCAATATTTACCTTCCAACACATCCTCCAGTACGTGGGTCACTTTCTTTTCCTGCAGAATGTGCTTTTTCAGATACTTCATGAAGATCCCAGAACTGAACTCCCCATCCTGAACTTCATAGGCTTCTGCATCTTCACTCCTTCGAAGGCAAGCACACGACCCTCAGCTGCTTGCCACACAGACATGGCACAAGAGCACCCATAAACCCCAGAGACACACTTTGATTCAGGATTTCCTTTCTATTGGCCTAGTTATTGCTTTGGCCATATTAAGAGAGACCCTGGAAAGTCAGTTGCCAATTCTGGGGGAATAATACAGAATCCTTGCAAACTCAAGGGGCTGAAAAATTGAAGTATTATATGCTGCTCATTTGGATGAAGGAACATGAGCACCTGTATTTGCTTCAGAGTATTGGTCCTCTAATTATAAGGTTGCATTGAACTGATGGCCTTTCTGTAGTTTCTGTTGCTGTTTGCATTGTGAGCCACTGGGCGTATCTGCAGCATTTTAGTGCAATACAGAGGCTTGTTTTAATGAAAATTAAACTGCATTGTATTGTTTCAGGGGCAGAGTTATGACAGCTCAGATCTGAAAATCTCTTCCACAATGATCTCCTGGCCTTGGAAAAAGTTCTGTGACTCATGGGGTGCCCTGTGCACTGCCCCAGAGTGTGTCAATTGAATTATCCAATTGTAGCCCTGAAGGAGGTGCTGCCATCCAGAACAACCAGCTCTGTATCTAACTTTAGGATCCTTCAGCTCAGGCTGGATGTGTCCTGGCTTGTTGGCGAGAGACTCCATTACAAATACTCACTGATATTAGGCCACAAAAGGGTGCTACAATCTTAACTGTGGATCAGCCACAGCTGCCAGCACAGGGCTGTAGGGAGAGATGAGGGTACACATCAGGAAAGCCAGGGAGAAAGTGTGAGAACCAGAGATCAGAGACAGGCCCGGCCTGCACGAGGGATGTCCAGCGGCAGCAGTACTAGCTGGCAAATGGAGACAGGGCCGTTGCAGCTTCTGGCAGTCTCAGCACCTCCCCCTGTCACTGACACTTGATCTGATGGCCAGAGTTCCAGTCCTGCAGAAGCAAGAGCCTCAAGCCTCAAGCACAGCCACTGGGAATGCCAAAGATCTCCAGTCACCAGCAATCAGCAGATACTTACGTGGCATAGCCATAAACCGTATTCCCCCAGGGCTCCAGCGGCTGCACCTGCGACAGCGCACACTGTGGGTTGTACCTAGAGATGAAAGGATGTAACAGGTGAACTGGGTGAAGGGGGATTTGCTTTCATACACGTACAGGATGGCCCCATCCCTGGGCACAAACAGAACCCATATGTCCAACGCAATGATGTCTGCTGCGTGACAGCAATGCACTCGACAATTACATCAAACCCAATTTCTAAACACTTACCTACAAGGAAAGCCATGGAGGATGGTGTAGCAATGGCCATGGGGTCTTTTCAACAGCTGAGAGCTCCCCCAGCCCAGCCAGACTCTGGGCAATTTGTGCTGCTGGGGCTGAGCAAAGGGGAAAATGTCTGTCTGAAATCTGTAGGGCTGACTCCTTTGTGGAGCTGAGGGTGCAGCTGGAAAGGAGCCATCTGGGGCTCTGATCCTGGGACTGATTTTCCACCAGCATAGTGGAGAGCTGCATCAGGACTCATAACAGCTCATACACTGGTTCATACTGCCCCCACGGGACTACTACACTGGAGAGGATTGCTGGAGCACACACCTCTTCCCTTCCCCAGGGAGCTGGCTAGGCCAGCCAGCCCTCTGCAATGTCAGAGGAATCCCCCACTGCCCTGTTAGGGCAGCTTTAGTGAAGAGTGGCCTTGCTGTGGCCAAGGAGTTGGCCCATAATTTCCAAGATCAGGTAAAGGGTGTCAGGGCTGATTTGGTGTGAAAGGCTTGACTTCCACCACAAAATACCTGAGAGATCCTTTGTGCATGGCCTTAGTCACTGGGTCTGCATAGGAGGTTGCTATCTGCAGCCTACCGGGGAAGAATCAGCTTTGCACAATATCTCTGGGCACTGAAGATATCTGGGCATAGGGAGGGCCAGAGTCTCTCTCATTTACACCAGGTTTACACCAGTGCAGCGGAGTCACTCCCAGTTTGCACATGTGGAACTGAGGTCAAAGCCAGGCCCAGAGTATCGTCCGCAGCAGTGTTATCTGCTCCGTTGTGGTCTGGCCTGCTGAGGAGGAAGTACAGGATGTCCCTGTTTCACAGAGTCAGCAGCAGATAGCAGGCTGTTTGTTTATAACTTGTGACCAGGAACCAGGGGGCCACTGGATGGCAATGTTTGTCTGGCTTGCACCTACCTTTCAAACACACCCAGAAGTCACAATGACAGGCATGAGGTACGTTTCTAAATAAAATCAATGAATGAATAGATTTATCTGCCCTCAGCTGCTCCAGACAAACACATGAGCAGCTAGAGGATTCCAGACACGAGGAACAACAAGACGTCATATCCCAGAATAGGCTAGAGCCCTCACTGGCCCCACACAGCGCGCAATGTGCATCTAATCCGTGGGCTACGCTCAGCTGCTTTGCTGCAGACACACACACACAGCGACAGAACAGCCAGCCTAGCACAAGGAGTGGAAAAATCGGTTCGGGTTTGTTTGCCTTGACTGAGGACAAGGCTCAGCTGGAACATGTTTTCAGAGCATGATGGAGCAGAGACATCCTTGGCAATGGAAATGATGAGCAGGGTTAGCGCCCAGACACTGGGCCTGATTCTCATCTCATTTACATCACTGTAGCTCACTGGCTTCAATTATTTACGTGCCATGTAGGTGGGAGGAAATTTATGTCCATTTGTCTTAGGCGACATGCCCTAGAAATGCCAACAAGACAATAAGCTTGATTGTGTTCTCACGTGGGGGTAAACCAGGAGCAATTCCACTGAATTCAATGACGTGATACCTGTGTAAAGCAGGTGCAAGTACAACTGGAATCTGGGACAAGGTAGCCCAATAATGACAGCCCCAGACACAGATCACTTTGTCCTGGTCCTCATAGTCCCAAGATCCCAAAGTGCTCAGACATCTCAGTGATGCGTACAGGCTAAAAACCTAAATAGAACAGAAAATGGGAACAGCATCTACCAAATGGCTAGTTTTAATGCACTATGTATGGCGCTGCTACACATAGGAGGAGGGCTTCAGCTTCAAAAACGTTGCAGAAATCCAATGTGTGAGCAAGTAAGGGAGGCAGGGTGGGGGCCCACTCCTTAGTTTCTGTCCTGGGCTCCAGCGAGTCTAATGCTGGCCCTGCTAGGGAGCATGCTCAGTGCAGATGGAATGATCACAGATTTGAGCAACAAGCCTCTAACAAGCTCTACTTCAAATGTGCAAGTGGTGATTTTCTGCAGCTTACAACGTGGCCATATCTGGACAGATTTCCACGGAGACAACAAAAGACTCTTCTTTAACCCCAGGACCACTCCCTTGCCAAATTTCATGTTTCTGCTCCAAAACATGAAGGCACTAAAGCTCTTCACAGGTAATCAAGGGCCCCTACAAGTACGCATACCAATGGGACACTAATTTTTACATTTGCTGTATCAGGTCTCATGACTGGGGAAATTCACAGGTATTATCAGTGTGGGCACCGGTAATTCTGTTTTACCCTGTTCTGTTTCCTGTTTAATATAATTACTGTGTTGAAGATATTGTGTGTGCTTGTGTTATTTCTTGGGAGTTTCCAACTCTCTGGCAAGTAAGTGGAGGTTACGCTGTGGTTATAATTTTCCTCTGCCACAGTCCTGGGGAGGATGGTAGGGCTTGGGACACCCATGGGAGGACTACAGCTCCCCCCCCAGCACCTGCCCTCACAGAATGCTCAGGCAAGGGGTCTGCTCAAATGAGGCACTCTCCAACTTACTCTCCTGCTGAAGAGTGTTCATGCCAGAGGTGTCTGTGGGCCCCAATGGGCCTGGAGTTAAGCTCACTGTCATTATCTCTTAATTAAGGCCTTGATTCAGCATGGCAGTTGGGTGTGCGTAGCTTTAGTCACATGAACAGAGCCTTAGAAGCCAATGGCCACCTCTCACACCATGAACTTTAGGCCTGTGCCAAAGGAGCCAGCTGAACTGAGCCAAAGTCAGGGGTTCTTTCCCTGTCTCCCCTCTGGGTCGTGAAAGCAACTACTGCTAACCCCATTGTCCTTGGGAGGTGGGGGAAAGGAACAGAACCTACCATTTCCTGCAGGTGTCCAGCAGGATGAGGTTGAGGGCTGTCTGCCTCTGCTGCATCTTCTGGAGGATCCTCTGCACGCTGATGCAGTTCTCGGGGGCGTAGGGCTGTGGGGCGTCAATGGGGACCATGTAGTTTCTCCCAGAATGTTCATATCCATGCCCAGCATAGTAGAATATGGCTGAAAACCATGGACAAGAGAGGGAGAGTTATGGGAAGAGGCCAGGCTTTGCGCCGAGAGGCATGGAAAACACAGGGTGCTGTTTGTTACCAGGGCAACTGCTCCAATGTCCAGCACGCCTCCCTTCCCCCACCATATAGCAGATGTGTTACACCGCAGCCCGTTCCCCTCCTCATGGGATCCTGTATCGTCTCAGAGCAGGTGTGTAACATCCCAGCCCACCTCCTCCTTCCGGGCACTATGACACCTCAGAGCAGGTGTGTTACACCACAGCCCACCCCCTGGTCCTGGGTGCTACAAAACCTCAGAGCAGGCGTGTGGCACCACATCCCACCTCCTCCTCCCGGGTGCTGCGACACCTCAGAATGGGTATGTGGCAACACAACTCACCCCCCTCTTCACAGGTTCTGTGAGGCCTCAAAGCAGGTGTGTTGTTCCCCCCATTCATGGTGGGGACACCTCACTATGCAGGCAATAACCTGGCCGTCATTTGATTGTTGGTCTAACCTAATCTGCTCCCCCACCATCACCCGGCCAGTAGTCCTAAGTCCTACAACTCTGAGAGAAGCCCTTTCTAGTATCAGCCTAAACCTGTCCTCCTCACAGCCTCTGCTGACATATAGAATCACAGAATTAAGGGACCATTATGATCATCTAGTCTGACCTTCTGCACAACACAGGCCACAGAATCTCACCCACCCACTCCTGTAACAAACCCCTAACTTATGTCTGAGCTATTGAAGTCCTCAAATTGTGGTTTAAAGACTTCAAGATGCAGAGAATCCTCCAGCAAGTGACCCGTGCCACACGCTGCAGAAGGAGGCGAAAAACCCCCAGGGCCTCTGCCAATCTGCCCTGGGGCAAAATTCCTTCCTGACCCCAAATATGGCGATCAGCTAAACCCTAAGCATGTGGGCAAGACTCACCAGCCAGACACCCAGGAAAGAATTATCTGTGGTAACTCAGATCCCACCCCATCTAACATCCCATCACAGGCCATTGAGCATATCTACTGCTAGTAGTCGAAGATCAATTAATTGCCAAAATTAGACCTTCATCATGGCTCCTCCTGACTGGACAAATCCATCCATGGATTTCAGCTCCCTACTGGGGACCTGAGCACCTGAAAGCAGTCACCTCTCATCACTTCATTCCTCAGTTCAGTAGAACTTCTGGAGCTGCAGGGGTGGGGCTGGAGTAGCCGAACCTGGGAATCAGGGAGCTGTAACCAGTTCATGCATGGCGCCCTCCTCACCTCTTGTGCTGAGTGGATCTTGGTGGAGGAGAGAAACTAGCACATCAGCTCTTTTAACCTTTGCCTTTAAGTGAGGGTCACTGTATCATGCAGCAAATTGGAACTAAATTAATTTTGCATCCTTAATGTTTCTTTAATACAGCTCTGTGTATCTGATAATAGTCAGCACTGCCAATAGTTATGGTTGCCCAACACTTCCCATTATAAGAACCTGTTTTCAGTTGCTTATAACTTTGCCAATAACTGGGCTAAAATATTCCATGCCAAGTGTTTGCTTCAAGCTGAATATTTCCGGGAAGATTCAGCTAAAATGGTTCAGCTGTTTCTGAGAATGAGGCTGCAGAAAAATACATTGTTTTCCTCACGTTAAAAAAAATGATTACAACCATTTCATTGAGGAATTCTAGCAGCTCTGTGCTTTGGAGCAGGGCCTTGACATTTGGCACATGGTCACCTTGGTGTTAGGGAGGTGCTGTTTGCTGCCCTCATGAGAATCTACCCACATTTGTTTAGTTTAAGTGTCTGAAAAATCAGTTTGCACGTACCAAAGATTCTGTCTGCCTGGAAGATAGATTCGTAGATTCCAAGGCCAGAAGGGACTGTTGTGATCACCTAGTCTGCCCTCCTGCATAGCACAGGCCAGAGAACTTCCCCAAGTAATCCTAGCTCATACTCCAGCCCGTCACAGCGTCTACATGCCAACCAGATGGCAAATGCCCCTTCCTCACAGAGCGACTGAGACGGTGCCATGCCGGGGCTGAGCTGGACTTTCCCTACAATTGCTCCTCCCAGCTTGCGGGGAGGGGGTGGGGGCTGTGACAGAAGGCACTGCAACTGAGAGCAGAGAGACCACTTCCTATCCTCTCAATGCTCTGCCTGCTGGCCCCCAGGCAGCAGGGAGGAGGAGGAAGTCCTCTGACTTAAACACAAGAGGAGTGAGGTCAGGGGGAGGTGAGGAGGGGGAACAGTTGCAGCATTGGAGGGAGGGCAGAAACAAGCTGGGGAAAGAGGAGGGTTAGAAGCTGGAGCTGGAGGGTGGGGAGGGAGCAGTGGGGATGGTGGAATAGGGCCAGAAAGGGAGAGGAAGAGGCTGGAGATGCAGGGGCAGAAGGGTCTGTAACCATGCAGGGTTGCCAACAATTTTGTATTATAAGGGTTGGCCCTTATTTAAATAAAAACATTGCCTGGCCTGTACTAAATTGGTTTGGGATGCCTTTTATCCCACATTTCCACCAGGGGTGTAATGCTGCCAGAGAGGTCTGGAGCATTGTTCTGGCACCTGAACCCCTGACAGAGTGGGGCTCGAGCACGTCTCTTTGCAAAGTGCTGCCAGTTGGCCACTTGACCTGGCACATGGGATTGCAATGCCACTCAGATTTGGCCCAGCTCCCCCTCCAGCTCTAGGCCCTGCCGAAAGTTGCACACCTCCCCCCATTGAAATCTGAACTGGTGCCCCTACTGGTTGCAGCGAAGCCTTCTCTAGGTGTACCTTCCAAGCCCACACCCATTCTTGCAGTCCCTACCCCGGCAGCGCATGGCACTGCAGCAGCTGGAAACCAGCAACTGCAGCTGCTGACTCAGTTTGCGCCCCATACAGAATGTGAACAGGACCCACAATGGCTGCCCAGCCCAGTACCTGAGGCCCTGAGTTCTCTGCAGCGCCAGAGCTAGAGAGAGAGATCCCCTAGGACGGACAAGGGAGGAGAAGAACTCACCCCTAAGGTTCAAGTTAAGACTGGGGACAGCTGAGGTCTGTCCTGTATTTCTGAAATACAGCAACTCCTAGCTTAACGTTGCAGTTATGTTCCTGAAAAATGCAACTTTAAGGGAAATGATGTTAAGCGAATCCCATTTCCCCATAAGAATTAATGTAAATAGAGGGGGTTAGGTTTTTATACACACACACACACACACACACACACAGAGTATAAGTTTTAAACAAACAATTTAATACTGTGCACAGCAATGATGATTGTGAAGCTTGGTTGAGGTGGTGGAGTCAGAGGGTGGGATATTTCCCAGGGAATGCCTTACTGCTAAATGATGAACTAGCACTCAGCTGAGCCCTCAAGGGTTAACACATTGTTGTAAATGTAGCCTCACACTCTACAAGGCAGCACAAATGGAGGGAGGGGAGACAGCATGGCAGAGAGAGACAGAGACACACACTGTGTGTGTGTGTGTGTGTGTGTGTGTGTGAGAGAGAGAGAGACGCATTGCCCCTTTAAGTACGCTGACTGCACTCTAAGTACATTGCCTTTTTAAGTAGATCAGCAAGTTGAGACAGCAGCTGCTGCCCGCAAGCTCCCTCCATCCTGAGCCCTGTCGTGTCCCCCCCCCGCTTTATGGAGATGGGGTAAGCGGGGAGCAGGAGCAGTGGGAGTGGGACACCCTGACATTAGCCCCTTCTTCTCCCCCCCGCGCACAGCAAGCAGGAGGCTCCCTGGAGCAGCTCCAAGGCAGAGGGCAGGAGCAGCACAAGGCAGTGCGGGGAGGGACAGCTGAACTGCCGGCAACTGATAGCCTGCTGGGTGGCTGCTGCACAGGGAACTTAGGGGAGCTGATGTGGGGCTGCCGGTCCACCTTGGTTCCAAGCGCCCACCACTGGCTCCAATGGGCTGCTCTTCCTGCAAGCAGTGGACAAAGCAGGTGGCTGCCAAACAACGATATAAGGGATCATTGCGCAACTTTAAACAAGCATGTTCCCTAATTGATCAGCAAGTAACAATGTTAACCGGGACGACTTTAAATGAGGAGTTACTGTACAATGTTGTCAACCGTATTAACCACTATAGAACACTGCACTAACTGGAACTGAACCTATTAGTCCTGAGTCTCAGCATATAGCTGTGAAGCCCACCAGCAAAACATGTCTTCACCCCTCTCCAGTGGCTGCTCCACAGAAAAGATAAAAGCCTTCTACTGCTCCCAGTTACTCCATTAGCTCTAGTGAAGGAGAACTGTGCTTTGGATCTCAAGATCCTAACCCTGCTGATGACCCAGTGAGAG